CCCCACATACCATCCCCTCCCCTGCTCCCCACTCCCCCCCAAACCGCTGGTTTAGGTCCACTCTGCAGTATCAAGTTGCCTTTGCTGTATTGTCAAGATGTGTGAAAAATAAAAAAAACCATCACCTTCCACACAAAATATGCTATGCTGGTAAATAAGCCCCTGTCCTGTAAGAAGAGAGCTTTTGTTGGCTTAGTTTGTCTTTCAGGGAACATAGGTTTGCTGATAATAAACCACAAACTTTTCTTGTTACCATATGCTCAGCGCTCTCCTGATAGAAGCTATGACAGTCATACTTTTAATGCAGCCCTGTCTAGTTGTACTGAGCAATTCAAAACTTATTTGAAGTATGCACCTTTTAAAGTCTCACTGGGAAATTAATTTGTACAACTTTGAAATACCTTTACATTTCCCCAAGAAAGTAAAGGGAACTTTGTGTATGTTAACATCAAACTTGTGAGATAACTGTATCTGATAGTTACTAATTCTTCAGCAGTGCAAAAAGTTAGCTGAGGTGAAAAAGTTAGACCTGAGGTGAATAAAAGACTTCTGATTCATGAAAGACTCGGGCTGACCTTGCCAGTGCCATTAATCATGAGTAGATCTCAAGCAAATTGTATAGCACTACAGAGATTTCAGAAGGAGAGCATAAGCATATATGTACTTTCGGGGGCCATAAAACATTGTCTTACAAAATGTCTGTGCCTTAGGTCATCAGAGAAAGCCAGATGAAATAGTTTTACAGGAGATCTTCCATGGCATAATGCCTTGTGCACGTCTGTACTTCTGTTACCTGCACAGCTGCATTTATTCATGAGGATGTACATAAAGCATGGACAAACATACTGTTTTACATTTTTATTCTGCCTCTGTCAATATTTTGGCAAGAAAAAAAATAAGGTTTCCATGTTCAAAAGGCTTTCTAAAATGTTTGATGTGGGTCTGACATGAAATAAATACAATAGTATGCTGAATCATAGCAGATAGTCAGTTGAAAAATAACTATCTCTATAATATGTATGCCTATAGTACCTACAGAATAACAATCTAATTGCAAAGAAAAGTGATGTGGAGTTCTTTACATATGCTTCTTTAGTGATACAAGGGAAAAAATGTCTTGGTACTAAAAATACAATAATACTCTTAAAAAACCCTCTCCACTGTATGTTCTAATAATAGTCTCATTTTAAAAGAAGAAGGGGAGCCAAGGGAAATTTCCTTCACATAAAGAAATAGCTGCTTTCATCTTTTTATTATTTTGGAAAAATGTAGTATTTGCATGAAGATTTTAAATATTCATTGATGTATGCTAAGATCATTTCCTTTTTAATTTGGGCTTTACATCTACATCTTCAGAGTGAACCATAGCATTTTAAATTTAAATATTCAGTGAAATTTTGGAAGAAGAAATATGACATCTTGACATATGTTTTCTTCTTTTTAAAAAAACAAACATAACCCTCAAACACAACGTACACACCACCCCCCCTCTTTCCCCCCCCACCCCTTAGTTTTAGTCATTAGATATACTCCAGGAAGTGATCTCCATTTTTGTTCTAAAAGAAGTCAGCGTGTTGCTATTGCTTCTTGTCTTAAAGTTCTTGTCCAATTTACCATTCAGTTTTGTAACACCGTCACAGCAAACTCTTTACCACTTAAATGAGAAAAGTTTCAATAGGCACTTTAGTGGAATTACGAAAAAGCTACCACTCTTCCACCATGATGCCAGAAAGCTATCTTCTTTCTAAGTCAGGTCAGTAAACTGTACCTTGTAGACCTGAGCTTGTCTCAGTGTAATTCCAGAGTAACAAAATAACAACAACAAAAAAACATGTATATTACAGTATTTATCGATCCTTTCCTGATCAAACCAAAACTGACAGCATGATAAATGAAGTAACTTGCTGGAAACAGTTGCTGTCTTTTATAATAAAAGGAATCTTGTCCTATTATAAAGCTTAGGTTTATCTTTTAAATTTGTTGTTGGTTTACTTTTCTTTTTATTTCTCTGATGTAGTTGTACTTAAGTGACTTTGTCAGGGTTATAACTTTCTTCTTCTCCAAACATGTCTGCCAAGATCTTAAAGCGAGGTCCCCAGTCACTCAGATAGTCATAATCCTGGTCTGCCTCTGTAGTAACAGAGTCTATAGAGCTGAGAGATTCTGCAACAGATCCATTTCCTTCATAGGCATAGGTTGCCAAGGAGTCATAAGGGGGTGCAGTTGGATCTACATCATTTTCCTGCAGCCTTTGATTAATGAAATCTCTAATGTCTGTGTTATCTTCCACTGGTGGTCTCTGACGTGGAAAACGCAAGGTGTCTGGTTTTATGTCTCTACGCATTTTGTTATCTTCAATCACTTTGGGATTCCTCAGGGCACCGATGTCAAAAGCCTGGGTGTCCTCTTCTCCACCTCCTTCATCATCATAATGGATAACATTATCTCTGATGTCTTCTTTAGAGGTCATCAGGGTGTCCTTTTTCTTTTGTCTCCGTAGTGCTACATACAGTACCACAATGACTGTAATGAGAGAAAACTGAAGTTAAGTCATGCACAGAAATAATTTGGTAGTCTGACGATATATCGTTCTGTCTCCCTTTGAAAGTTGCAAGCAATCAAAGGGACTTTTTTGCTTAGAAGATATGCTTCTACAATTCTTTTAAAAATAGCAGTGCTCTAGCCAATGAAAAGTCATTTGCTGTTTGATGTACGAGTCTAACTCCTTAGTGCTTGCTGTGCTGCTGAAGGAAGTAACAAATAGTTTTCCTACTGGCCTGCTTTGTAAACAAATAGAATTAGATACCATTTTAGATTTTTAGTTCAGACAGACAGAGAGATGTGATTTTTTTTTAAATATATATTCTATAGCAAAATAGAGAAAAATCACCAAATTTTCACACTGCAGAGAAAAAAAAAAAAAAAAGCCCACAGGTATTAAAAAGAAAAAAATAATTTGGGATCTTTGAAATGGAGAAAAAATAACCCTACTTCAGCTTTTTATACAGCACACTTTGTCCCTTTCAGGGATCTGCTTTGAAAAATCCCATGTGATATGGTTCTGGAGAGAAAAGAGATCCAGTAGAGCTGGATGATTTTCAAGTATATCACCTCCTCCGAGGTCAATAGTGGTCCACCTCTACGAGTAGTAAATGAAGCAAAGGCAGCAGGAGGCCTGCATGGATGAATAAGGATCTCCTGACTGTATGCAGGGATGCGGTTAAGAAAGTCAAAGCCCATCTGGTGTTGAACCTCATGAGAGGTACAAATGACAACAAAAAAGGCTTGTACAAGTGCGACCACAGCAAAAGAAAAAGTAGGGAAAATGTAGGCCCACTGCTGAGAAAAGGCCAGTGTTTTCTTTGCCTCTGTTTT